TACAGTACTTCCATTAATAAACCTTGACACCACTGGTGAAAAGTCAGCACAAATGATTCAGAAAAGTAAAGTTAGGTCATGAAATTCAGACATTATAAGTGTCCAAATACATTTTGGAGTCTCGGTAATAGTCAAGTGAAAAGCCCAATTCAGCAGGCTTTTCTTGCAAGTTGCTGAAAAGAACCATTGAAAAGCTTCAATCAATAATTTCATTTAAGAGTGAAAACAGTAATAAAAGCAAAACTGAAGCAAGACGCATAATGATACAAGCTTAAAGTATTTATCACTTTGTGAAGGCTGAATTAAAATGGGTTTCATGTCAAAGTGCTACCAGACCTCTCTGAATCAAAAACACCTGCTCATTCAAAACATGGACTGAAAACGGTGACATAAACCATAATAGTCATTCCTCTCTTTATACAAATAATTATATCGTTTATCTGGTGAGAACCTAAATTTACAAGAGTGTTAAATCAATTTAAACTACTCACATTTAACCAATAATCTAAATTTTGCAATGAAACTTTTAGATTAACTTGTTTTTAATGTCTATCACAGTAACATGTTAAAATGAAATATATTGTGTTATATCACAAATAAAACTAATTATACTAAACTGCATTTGTGCATTGGCTTACGTAAAGTTGTCAGAGTTTTACTGCCTCTAGTGTTCATTTCAACTGGAAACTGCAGTGATTCATACTGTACATATAGGTACGTTTTTTCAGTTTTGCAGAAATGTATTGAGAGGCACGTATTTCCAATGAGCCTATAGTTGCAAGACTCTGTTAGTCTTCCTTTAACAGTTTACTTCAATGACAGCAAAAAGACAAACTAAACTTTTTTGACATTCCTATTATGTATATTTCCTTATTTTATTGCTTTTTGGATAATTTCTGCCACCTGCAATTCAACAACCATAAGAAAGAAAGAAAGAAAGAAAGAAAGAAAGAAAGAAATTTCTGAAAATTCTAAGAAGACAAGTCTTAATTGTGAGATATAAACTCATAATTGCAAGAATAAAAGTCAGAATTTTGAGATAAAAAGTGACAATTGCTTTTTCTTTTTAATTCCATGGTAGAAACAAAAAACAGAACTGGGAAATGTAAACTCAGAATTCCAAGAAAAAGGGCAGAATTGTAAGTTTATATCTTGCATATCTGACTTTTTCGCAGGATTTTAAACAAAGTCCAAATTGTGAGCGAAAAAGTCGCAATTACCTTTTATTATTCTGTGGGTACTATGTACACGTTAGGTACAAATTTCAGGCATCCCACCCTGAAATTATTAATTTGCGTAAGCTGCCTTCAATACTATACTTTATTCAATAATATTTGTGCATCAAAAGTGAAAGTGATATAATTAAGTGTGACGAAAAAGAGGCAAGGGTCTCCACAAAATCAGAAGGCATGTGGACACAGAAAACGCATTTGAAATGCATAATAATAATGTGCCTTGAATGCATCTTGGCATCACTTCACCAAAATCACATTCTAATATCAGATGGAAACAGGCTTTATCTCTTGCTCACTCGATTTCAGGGATATTGTATATAATTAGCGGGCATCAGGGTGTCACGGGTCTACTGTGTAGGAGCGAAGGAGCACGGAGACGTAGGAGAATTCACGTAGAACAGTCTTTATTAATCCAAACGGGTAACACAGGGCAGGCAGGAACACACGTAGCACATAGACGTTTACGACACCAGACAAAGGAACGGACAACACTATAAATACAAGACTAAACGAGGGAAGATGACGAGACACACCTGAATCGAATGAAAACAATCAACAAGGGAGAAAACTAGGTCACGGAGCACATGGGGACATGCTTTCTCTGTCTTTTGTTGTCTGATTAACATTAATGACAGACGGCACAGCTTTATAGGCTGCTGCTGTCACAAGACCTATTTCACGGATCCAATACTGATACACATGCGTTTTCTTTCGCAACTGTTTACATTAACTTAAGATAAAACCGACAGTGCTTATGAGGATACTCGCGAGGACAACAATTTTGACGTCATTTTGTATGTATTTGGCCCAGGGGCGCCACTAGCAATTTTGGGCCCTATGAAAGAATATGAGGTTGGGCCCCCTACCGCACCAAACATACACTATATTGCCCAAAGTATTGGGAAAACTCAATAAAAAAAAAAAAAAA